GTATCAAGCTTCATTCTTCCTCACCAGAGCAATCTGCTTGTGTCTTCCTAATGTGCTCTCAAGTCCAGCATGCCCTGGCAAATGCATGGCCACATGTTTGTGGGCACACTTCAAATCACAGAGTTAGCAGTCTCCAGAGCCTGTCCCTGCTTATTTGGCTAGCTCAGTTCTTATGCAAGAAAATAGTAGCACTGGGACAGACTGGAGTGACCAGGATCTTTTCCCAGCTTAATGTTACTGGGACTGTAGCTTGGCATCTCTCTCCCTCCAGTACCAAGCAGCTGCACCAGGTGCTGCCCTGGGAAGCCACAACACAACTTCTACTGCACCACATGGGAGGAGGCTCAGTATGAGATCAAGAGAGCTGAGCACCTGCTTTTGTGTCTCAGCTATGTCACAGGGAGGATGGGGTGAAGAACCCTTTTCCCAGGAAACAGCACCCTTCCCCTGACACAGACACATTCTGGAATTACTCATGGGAATTTCTGTCTAAATCCACCAGGTTGCAACATCCAGGAGTACCTACATCTGATGAAACTCGTTTGTAGAAAGGAGCATGGGTTGTTTGTGCCATGCTAACAGCTCTACATAAGTGAAGAAAGGAGACTTCTACCATGGGAGCGTGGTACTTGGGTGGAAAGAGGCTTGCAGCACACACAGGAACTCTTTTAAGCAGGCTGACAGATGTGTTTCTTTGACAGTTCTGACAAGCAGCAATATTTGCCACAGAACAGCCAAATACGTCACTGCTTGTCTTGCTGGTGGCAAGGGGTGGGGCATAGAGCTGAGGAAATGGCAAGGATGCCTTGGAATGTGGAAATGGCAGCTTTCCGAGCAGAATGGGCTCTGGCGGCCATCCACACTCAGCCACACACATGGGCATGCCCCAGGAGCCATCTCACAGCTCTCCAGAGTTGCAGAACAGGTCATGCAGCACCTGAGGGAAGAGATATCCACTGGGACAACCTGCTTGCATCTCTTTCTTTGGGCACAGAGCCCAGCAGCAGAGCAGGAGGTGTGGGAGGGCTGTGTGAGGGGAAGGAAGCCTGCCAGTGAGCCAGCCCCAGGAGCCACAGAATTGCAGGCCGCTGCCTGCTGAGAAGCAGCAGGAAATTTTGGTGGAAGGAGATAAGGAAACAGCAGTGGTAACTCATCTGGGAGCTGCCCCAGAGCCCCTGTCATGGCTCTGTCTAGGAAAGACCTGCCAGTTTTGCTGGAAAGGGAGCTTCTTCCTTGGACAGACATCACCCCAGTCCCCTGTTCCCCTGGCTGCTCCGATGTCCAGTCACATCCTGGCATGACCAAGGTCATACCACAGGGATACTTTGCTTCCTCTTATGTGTATATGGCTGATCTGCCCCACTAAAGAAGTGTTTCATGACATAGCAAAGGTTTGAGGGGTTTTTTTGTGTTTACAGCTTTTGGCCTATTCTGGTGTTTCAGTCAGGACAATCTAACTGTATTTGTGGGTGGAATGCCTTTTGAAATGTGGACATACGTGCATATGCACCATGCAGCACCTTCTCAGTGGGATTTGAGCACCTACAGTGGCCCTTCTGAGAGATCACAGAGGCTCTCTGTGCCTGCTGAGCAGCTCCCCTTCGTGGGGACCCACACTTCTGATGTGTGCTTTGCACAGCAGGCCTGGTTCTGAAGGGAACCAGCAGAGAGATGCTCCAGCTGTATGTCCTGGCTCGCTGGTCATCCAGGGACGTCTCCAGAACTCATGACCTTTGCAAACAGTGCTCCTGACTGTGTGCCAGCTGCACAGAGGCAGGGAGATGACAAGGCTTGTGAGGACTGCTGTCTCATGAGGCTCTGGTGTCCCCAGCACAGCTCTCTGTGTGTGCCACCCAGCTGTCAACACGCAGCCCACAATGGCACTGAGGTGCTCCAACTTGAAACTGCTGCTTGGTCAGAAAAAAGACAGCTCTGCACACATCATGGCCTCCACAAAGGGTGTGAGCAGCAGCCTGGCAGGGGACAATCGGGGCCAGACATTGTCTTTCACACAGAGAACACCCTGTTCAAAGGAGAGAGCGAGGAGCACACCAGGAGAGGCTGTGCCGTGGGAGCACAGCAGATCCCGGAGACCTCCTGCCAGGGTGAATTACATAGAATCACAGAATTGTTCAGCTCAGAAAAGAACTCTAAGATGACCCAGCTGTAACATCTGTTGGCCCATGTGGATGCAGGCAATTTGCTGCAGGTGGCCCTGCCCTGGACAGTGCAGGCCCAAGTACTTGGCCTGGAGACCAAAGCAGATCCATTATATATTCCCAACCCTTCCAGTTGGCCCAGACGTAGCCTTTAATACAGCATGGGGAAAGCTGATTAAGTAGCAATTTAACATTAATCAATAAAACGTGGTTAGACTAAACAGAAGTTATGTGATTAAAGAAGCATCAGAGATTCAACATAGACATGAGTCAGAACTTTTCGTTGCTTAGGAAGAGCATGGGCTCCTGCGTGGCGTCACTAACTGCTAACTAACTCACGCTGAGATAAAATGGCACTAATTGATCTGTTGATATGGATGGAAATTATACAGATGCAGACATTTTGCATTTTTAACAGAAGTAAAGCACCCTGTCCAGATTCCAGATTGCTTTCCTCTGACCTTGAAGACATATTTAACACAAAGATTCCCATCTGCAGTTATCCAAGCCGTACCTGGCTATCAAAAATGATTTTCTGCCCGATAAGTTTAATTCCCCAGTAGTGTTCTTGCAAATAATTCTTCATTTTCTATTCAAGGACTTATTTTTTTTCTTACATCTATTTTTCTTTTCATTTTATAGGCACCTAACCAGTGCTAGCACATACCTCATCCCATTGCAGTACATGAATTTGCCACACCACTCCTGTGTGGTCTTACTCTTTATTTACTCATTGTGTTACAGGACTGAATTGCCAGCAAAGATTCTCTATAACTGTCTCCATTAAGACTTAGTCTTCCTGAGATGGCTGCCTTGAACTCTCAGCATTTCTAAGCTTTGATTTGATGGCCAGTAGCAGGGCTTGCTTTCTGTCACTTGCCTCAAAAGAAGCACCCAGGCAGAACTGCGTGTTCTAAATCCCTCCAGCACCTGCTTTGTAGTGGGCTGTCACTTCACCCACGGTGACAGTAGCATTCACACCACAATAAACTCCAAAAGACCAGATCACTTTTATTCATGGCATGGAAGAGCCAAAGTGACTTATGCAGAGGACAGCTGCTAATTCCAGAAATAACAAGGTCTGGCACAAGCCAAGTATACCTGCTGATCCATCTCTGTACCCAGGTAGCTAAATGCCTCTTCAGGACTAAGATTTTGCTTCAGCTAATGAATGTCAGTACAACTGTGTGCCTCTCAAGGCTCTAATTTTCATTTGCAGCAGAAAAATGCCTACTTTTTCAAGCCAATAATTGCATGAAGGAAGACTGATAGCATAAGGAGATTGTTATTTTCTTTCTGGAGGAATCAGAACTAATAGGGAAGTCAGTTAATTTTCATTTCCAGTTACAAAAGCACAAACTTTAAATTCACTATGTGGCAAGCACAAAATCAGATTAGTTTCCCCCTGTGTATTCTATGTATTCTGATTTGAGAATTCTAGCTTTCACACATGCAACCTGGAAAACATGTGTTTTGCATTTGTTTCCTGTAGTGAGGAGTTCATACGAAATGTCTAAGAGGGCTGCTTTTCTTTTTCTTATTCCCACTTTCCTTGATCTGCCTTCCTGAGCTTTTAACATCAACATACTGGTAAGAAAATGCAAGCATCTGGATTTATGGGGATGTGACCAGAAAGTATGAAAGCATAGATTTTTTTTTTTCATATTCACTCAGCACTTTTTTAATCTCAGTCTGAGACATTCTTTGTTTTCTCTGAAGTCAGAGCTAGCCGAGGGAACAGTGGCAGAGTTCTCTGACGTCTGGCTCATTGTGTAGGGTGTGTTGTGATGTTCCAGAATTTGGTTCACAATTATGCAGTGAATTCTTTTTAGCTCTGCACTGACATCTTTACCTGAACAAGAGGGAAGGTTGTCTGCACTAGAAAAGTGACAGTTGCTAGAAGACCCGTCACAGAGATACATTCTTTATCCTACATAATTACTTTGTGCATTAATCATGGGAGATAACAGAATTGATGCCATGCCTACAAAAGCAGCAGTAAACAGGATTATTTAGCAGCCACAGAAGACCTATATTTCTCTAAGAAATTCAGAGCTATAGATCAGTGGTTCAGTGGTTGCAGCCATGTAAGGAGTGAGATGCTCAGTGCTGGGCGCTGCTATGGGTGGCATTTTCAAATGGTATGTAACACTGAAAAACCTCAGGGAGACTTTTCCCAATTTTATCACCTGGTTAAATAAAAGGTACGACCTCTTTGTACAAACTTTACGTGTAAAATTAAAGATTTGTTTACACTGGATTTAAACCTTGGACGAATCTCTTTGCATAGCTCTCTAATTGTGAGAGTTCTGCAGCAGTGCAGACTGGGAGTGTCACTGGTATGGTTTGTGCTTACTCCCTCAACCTGCAAGTAAATTAGCAGTACTGAAAGGTACCTGTGTTGATAGGTAAGTCTTGGGAGCAGACAAGCCCCAAGTCCCCTGAGCAATACCAAATACAGTAATTCTCCAGGGAACTTGCAACAGTGGGTGTATTAACCCCAAAATTAAGGCCAGATTCCAAAGTCAAATGCAATGATTGCACAAAGCACAGGAAATATCTTTATTGGTGTTCCTCCTTCGTGAGAGGTTCTGAAGCAAGGAGAAGCAACAAAGGCTAGGGCTGAAAGTTACGTTCTGTTGGGCTGGGTCAGGCTGCCCCCGTTCTACAGCGGGTTGAGCCCCAAGCGAGCACTGGCATAAAAATAAAACCGATGTGCAGCGCTGGCAATCCAACAAAGCAATTCGTGTGGATAGTGTTTGATATAAACCAGCTAATAGTGTTTGCCTTGCAGCCAGTACGAGGAGAACAAGTCGCTTTTCTGCACGGTGGAGTCATCTGATGTTTGCTTTAATTTCTGGCAGATCGGGGCAGCGTGAGTCAGATGCTCTCACAGCTGGCTCGGGCGGGGAGGAGGCCAGCAGGGACCCTGACTCACCAGAGCCGCCGCATTCCTTCCCAAAATCCAGCTCAGCGACTGGAAGTGAAATCGCGGCCTGGGGGCAGCTCCAAGGTTAGGCGAGGCGGGAGGAGCGGGGCTCTCCGTGCGGGGGGCAGGCAGCGAGCCCGGCCCAGGGTGGGCGCCGGGGGAAAGCGCGACAGACGCGTCTCGCTGGCGGCCCCGGCGGGCACAGCGCTCGCCCCCTCCCCGCCGGCGGCAGGGCCCAGGGCCGCTGCCCCGGCAAGCCCCGGCCCCCGTTACCTCATTGCTACATTCCCCAGCGAGTGAGCTCAGCTGTGCTGCGGCCTCGCGCCTTTTATGGTCAAACAACTTTGCCTGGGCGAGGCTTTTTTCGCGAGTTGGGAGGAAGCGCGGGGGCTCGGCAGCTCCTCCGCCTCTCGCTGCTGCTGCTCCCGGCGGGCGGGCCGGGGCAGCCGAGCAGCCCGGCCCCGACAGCCGCAGCTACTGCTGGGGCGGCACTTCCCGCTCCCCCTGAGGTGAGTCTTTTCGCTCGGCTTGGCGACAAAGCCCTTGCCTTCTCCTGGGAGTGGCGCGGAGGGTGCGGGTTTCCTGCCGCTCCCTCCCGCACGGCTCTGCACCTCGGACACAGCCCTTCGCTCCTGGTGCTGGCTCGGGGGTGAGGTGGTGCTTGGCCCTCCACAAAAAAAGCAGGTTCGTGTGTGTGTGTGTGGGTATGTGTGGTGACTTTTTTTTCCCTGCCGGTGGAATGGAGGTGGACTCGGCGCTCCCGCACAGCCCCAGCAGCAGCGGGGGAGAAGGAGGGGGTGCTGCTGCCGGGCTCTGCTCGGGACAAGCTCTCTTTTGTGTGAGCTGGGATGACCGAGACACCTCGCGAGCCTTTTTCCAGATGTGCTCGAGAGAGGAATCTGGGGCCCTTTGTGCATGAAATTTGCCTAATTTATGAGTTTCTGGCTCCCTGGGAGTGGCCTGAGAAAGTGTTTGCAAAGTCGTGGAACTTTCTAACGTTTTAAATATGTTTGCATAGCTTTTTGGAGTTTTTCTTCCCGGTTTTTCTTCCCTCCCTTGCATAGGGAGGAGGCAAGCCCAGTATCTGTGAGAGAAGTTAGTAGCTCCGAATTACCCCCTCCCCCAGCCCGGTTGCTCTGAGGCTTTACCTTGCAGCTTGCATAGCTGATAGACTTTGCTCTCTTTGAAGCTTTGTAACTTTGGGGCAGGCTGGGAGAACTTTCTGGATGAAAAGCAGCATAACTCCTGAATCCGTTTAATCTGTTCTTAATATTCTTGTTTGTTTGTGGGGATCTTTTGTTTCGGTGGGGGCTTTTTGTTTTGTTTTTTTTTTCCCCTCTGACTCCCCTCAGTTGGGAGGAAGTTGGCCGATGGGGAAGTGCTGATGTGATGTGTGGAGCTATGGGGGCTCCCAGCGTGGCTGGAGCCAAACTGCTCTTACCAACAGAAGTGAAAAATGTCACTTGACTGTCTGCTTCTTCAGGTTCCTCCTGCTTTTGCTACCCCAGGAAAGGAGCAGAGCTGTTGAGAGTGGTGTCATGGCATCAAAGTGAAAGCTGTCAAGATGTATAACTGGCGGCAGACCCACCACAAGACCTGGGAATTGACCCTCTTGCTAAAGGAGGTGTCCCTTGGTTCTGTCCTCCTACTTCTTCCTGCTGTCAGAAAGAAAAGGTGTATGAGTCAACTTAGGTATCCTGACTGTGGCCTTTGGGGGCATCTTTCTTCATAGCTCCACTTGAGTCATCCTAAATGCTGTTAGAGCAGGTAGAAAAATCTCTCCCCTCGGGGTAAATGTGAGGATGAGAAAGATTTGAGGTTAGTTCCGTTGGCATGACACTCCCTCTCCCACAGTTCTCACAAACTGCACCACAGGACCCGTGTGAGCTGTGTGTTTCTGGTAAGGCTTAGATGGCATTGGCAACACCCAGGGCTGGAGGGGGTGACTCTCTGCAAAGCCAAGCTTTCTCAGCCGGTTTGGTCTGTGTGTGGGTGGTCTGATAGCCAGCAGCGAGGATGAGCAGGGGCAGCTGCTGGGTGGAGACAGCCCTGAGCAGCAAGTGCCCTAAGTGTGAAACAAACATCGTGCCGGGAAATGGGCTGCTTTGGGTTCGGGGAGATGGCAGCTGCTGGTTGCAAAGCCAGTGGGTTTTTTGTGAAGCAGCCAATGTCCCCAGACTGTGTGTTGACTAACCCCATGATTAGAAGTGACATTGTCACTGTAGTGTTCTGCTCATAATCCTGTCAAATCTGGTAGAGCTACTGCCAAGTGGTTCATTACACCCTAGTGAAATAATGGAGAACGAGGCAAGTCTCTAAAGAAAGGCTGGGGGTGTTTTTAACAGCTTCTGAAGCTTGGTGGGAACTGCAGAATGGAGGGAGTTGGTCAGTCCCTTCTGACAGGCAAGTCTCTTGACCCCTGAAAGTTTGGCAGAATGAGGACAGACCTTGCAAATTACTCTTCTGCCTTGGCCCTTTCCAGTTCTGAATCCAGGGGGAATGCTCAGCACAGCTTTTTGGCTCCCGCTTATTGTTGCGGCCTCATTCTCCTTTTGAAACTCCCAGAAGAGTTGTCCAAGTGTATGCATCTTATCAGCACCGCACAAAGGGAAGGAAGAGTTCAGCAACATGGACTTTGTTTGTCTGTGTTGCCACATGCTTGTGACCTGGGGAAGGCTGGGACAGGTTGCTGCTATATTGTGCCACACTGCACCGAGCCGTGGGAGCGCTTAGAATGGGGCAGGCAGTTCTTAGCAGCAGCCAGGGGTTATCGGGGCCGGGCGGATGTTTGTGGCACCAGGGCTGTCTGTGGCAGCAGCTGTTATTGTCCGAGGCAGAGGCCGGCAGCGCGGAGGGGCACTGATTCGGACATGCCGACGCGGAAAGCTGGCACGGAGCCCCTGTGCTGACGGCAGCCCTATTGTGCTGGGGTGTTAGGAGGGCTGTGGGCATGCCAGGCTTTACAACAAAGCGTCTGGCTCCGTGGGGGCTGCTAGCACGGGTGAGCTTGCTGGTCTGGATCGCAGGACCGGGGCAGTCCTAGGGATGCGCCTCGCCTCGGGACAGCCCCGTTCCCCGCACAGCCGGCCCGGCCGGGCATCCTGCGCTCGCTGGGCCCGGGCCCAGCCGGGGCTGCCCGCGGGCGGGGGGCGGCGGCATCCGGGGAGCGCTTCCTGGCGGGGGCGGAGCGGAGCGGGCGGCGGAGCCCGGCCGGGGCAGGCAGGAGACACAGGCTGGCATCGCCCAGCTCCGGAGAGCCTCTCCCGCCCGGCCGTGCGGCTCCGGCGGCATGGAGGGGCCTAGAGGTAAAGGTGTGGGCTACCGGGGGAGAGGGGGCATTGCTGGCGCTGTCACAGGCTGAGCTCGAGAGGAACCGGCTGGCGTTCTCGGGTAAAGGGGGAGAGGAAATGCTGATTCCCTTTCTGGGGGCATCCTTTGGGGTGCGGGGTATCACCCTCCTTCGGGTCACCACAGGTGCAGGGCTGCAGTGCAGTGGAAATCTGGGTTTTCTCTGTTGCAAGAACCCATTTGTGGTTAATGCCATGCTGAGTTGAAATGGTGAAGTGTGATGGCTCATTCGAGCTGTCTGCAGTTTCTATTCCTCCTTTTTCCTGTGCTGCTCTTGTAAGTGCACTGCTCAGGCACCTCAGCCTCTGGCCTGAGTTAAATTCCTGTATCCCTTTGTTTCACATACTCTTCTCCATTAATTTCCACTCTGGCCCAAGGATGACTTCATGTAGGTTTCCTCCCTCTTCTCTCCTGCCAGGTGCTGAGAAGATGGCCTCCCCAGGAGCCCCAGGGACCCGCATGACATCCACAGTCAGCATCAACATTTCTACCCCTTCCTTCTACAACCCACAGAAGAAGTTTGCACCTGTGGTTGCCCCTAAGCCCAAGGTGAACCCCTTCAAGGCTGGGGGTGCATCAGAGTCATCACTGCCTCCACCTCCTGGTCCTGGTGCCCAGCGTGCTCAGATGGGGAAGGTGGGGGAGATTCCATTACCACCCGTGTCCATGCTGGCAGAAGGTAGGTCAAGGCTGGCATGGCAGATGTGAATATGCATTTCTGACTTCTCAGGGTGGGAGGTTTGTAGCTGGGCTGAATATGAGAACAGGAGCATAACTGCTGTATGTAATGGATATTCTTGCTGTAGAGACTAGGAGGTTCCATAACGAGACAAATGGATTGGAAAGAGATCTCAAAAGTACAGCGTGTCTCCATTAGGAAAGGAGGGGGGAGGCTGTCCTGCACTGCACTGATGCTGGAGGAATGCAGTGGATTTTTCACAGTATTCGCTGGGTGCACAGTTGTGTAATTGCAGTCAGTTTTTGGCCAGCATGTCTGAGAGCAAGTATGTTGCAGAGAAGTTGACCCTGATAGTGATGAATCACTCTGTCGTCCTTCTTGTTGATTGGTCCCAGCTCTTAACTTAACCAATAAGTTGGTTATCTCTGACTATCCTTCTTGTGGACTCTGCAATTGCCACCTTTGATGCTGGAAAAGAGAAGGGAGAAATAATTGTGTGAAAAAATAGTGGCAGCAACGATAAACAGGAAGTGAGACTCAGAGTTTAGTTTGTATGGCTTGTACAGTTGGTACTTTTTCCTAGTGGTTTGGGTTGGGTTTTCCTGTGTAGAGGGACTTCTTGTTTCACTGTGGTTTTCTTACTTCTTTCTTTCTTTTTTTGTATGGCTTTTTTTGTTTCCTGCAGTGGTAGAGTGGGTTTTTTTGTTCCTTGTTTTGTTGCTTGGTTGGTTTTGTGTCCTTTTAGATGCAGTTTAGAGGCTGGTTTTGTTACTCTGTAGTTTGAACGTTTGATCAACATGGGGCCTCCAGAAATTTCTGTAGGGACCCTTTGCTAATGCTTGATAGGCCTATTTCCCCAAGGGTCTGTCAAGTAAAGGGTGTGCCTCAGTCAGGACACACATGTTTGGAGAATGCTAGCTGCTGGTTTAAATCTCTTTTCTTTCACTGTTTAGCAGAGACTTGCAACACTGATATTTTCCAGGTTAGTGTGCTAAGTTGGTGGGCAGCTGACCTGATGGTCCTGTGCTAGAGGAGAAGAATGATTAAGCCATTTTTCCCATTTCTGAAATCACAAGGACATGCTAGTGCTTCTGCCTCCTAAAATTGTACCAGCTAAGTGTATTTCTTGTATGTTCTTGGCTGGAATCTTGTGTCTGTGGAAACCAAGGTCCCGTCTTAGGACTTGTCATTTTCTGCTGTAGTTGTCTGGATTAGGGGATGTGTCTGTCAGAAGGTCTCAAACTGACACAAATAGTACCTGAAGTAGACAGATGGATGTTAAAAATTACTTTTCAATATACAGTATGAGTGGAGTGTTAGGTACTGCTTGCTCTGCTTCTCCTGTTGTTAAAGTGGGCATTATGGAGTAACTAGACAGAAAATCTAGCAGAAGAGCCATTTGTCATAAGCTGCTGTGTCATCATTGGGTAAGGGCTGCCAGCAAGACAGCTGAAGTACAGATGAGCCACCAAAACTCAGTCATGAGAGAAATGCATCTGATTTGATCCTCCTCTGGTGAATATCTTCAGTCCTTCTGTGCCTTTCTTATACACTCCCCAAACAAAATGTACAGAGCTGTAGCAGTTGGACTTTGTCTTAAATGATAGGATGGCTAAGTTAGTATTGCTGTAGGAATGTTATATTTAGTACTGATTACTCTGTAAATCTGGTGTAACAACTTTGTGGGGAACTTTCTTGTCCTGTGAATAATTCATAAAACAGGCTTTTAGTGCATCTGGAACAATGTGACAACAGATCAGGGTTTTGTTTCTTATGGTTTTGATAAACCAAAAGGCAAGCATGTACAAGCTTGATCCCAAACTGTAATTTCAAAGAAAAAAAAAACCAAAACATAGTATTACTCCCTCCCCCCAGCAGAATTTCTGCAGCACAAGAAGGCTTGCTTGGAAGAGGTGTTGCATACCAGGGCAGTTTATGCATTCCACAGGCTAATAAGATTTTGCCTTTCATTTTCTAAAAGGGCAGTATCGTCTCCCTTAGGTTACAGATGAGAAGTCCTTATAAAGCCTGTTGACAACAGCTGGATATAAAGATGAGACAATTTGATTACTGCTGTTAAAAGTTGCACATGGAGTAGCTGGAGTGAAAAACTTCATCTTTCACCCTACTGCTCATTGGGGCTAGCTGGGAAGAGAGGTGGGTGTCTGGAAGAAGGCATGTGGAAGTTACACCTCCTCATCTTCAATGTTCTTTGCTGTGTGGTTGATAAGAGGATGCTTTCTTCCCTGCATGGTGAAGGGAAGAGGATTCTCATTTATTTGTCCGTGTTGTAGTAGAAAATGGTTGGTTTTGCCTGTTGGTCATCTTTGGCAAATATGAATAGGTAGAAGCAATGGGCTTTTCTAGAAAACTGAGGTGCTCTGGTGCCTTTCAGCCTGCTTAAAAAGGTTTTGGAAAATTTCTCATGTCATTATGTATATTGAGTGTGAAGACATACTAGCCTCAAAAATCAAAGCTGGTTTTACCCCCCAGAAAAACAAAGGCATTTCAAAGATTCTTCGTACACATAAGGGGTAATTGGTCCAGCTTGCTTTTTTCCCCCCCACTTGTTTCTTGTAGTGTTTACTATGCTGCTGTGAGATGCCAGCTTGTTTTTGTGTGAAAACACAGGCTCTCCAGGGTGCTGGGTTGTGCAGTGGCATTCCATGTATGCCTCCCTGTGTTCAGTAACCTGAGCCAGTTAGTGGCAAGAGAAGGGTGTGCTGGGGACCAAGGAGTGAGACAAGGAGCAAATGAGACAAATGAGGAAGGAATGAGACAAAGAGCATAGCAAGATATGTTTCCCAAATATGCAACAACTCTGCCCAGTGACTAGTAACAGCAGCTACTGAGGACAGATTAAATGATTATGAAAAGCTTTGGACAAGGTGAAAAACAGCCTATGGAGTTCAGTTGTCCTTGATGGCTGCTGAGATCCCATTACTACAGGGAAACCAATGTGCACTCCCTGCCCAGAAGGCTGATGGAGTCCTGAGCTGCATCGAAAAGGGTGTGACCAGCAGATGGGAGAGGGATTCTGCCTCGCTGCTCCACTCTTGTGAGACCCCACCTGGAATGCTGCATCTGGCCCTGGGGTCCTCAGCACAAGAAAGACGTGGACTTGTTGAAGAGAATCCAGAGGAGACCACAAAGCTGATCCAAGGGTGGGAGCGCCTCTTTTAGGAAGACAGCCTGAGAGAGCTGAGGTTTGTCAGCCTAGAGAAGAGAAAGCTCTGGGGAGAACTCATTGTGTCCTACTATCTTAAGGGGGTTATATAAAAGGAGGGAGATGGAGATTTTATGTGTACAGATAGGAAGAGGACAAGGGTTTTAAACTGAAAGAGGGCTGGTTTAGATTAGATGTCAGGAAGAAATTCTTTACTCAGAGGGTGGTGAGGCAGTGGAGCAGGTTGCCCAGAGAGGTGGATGCCCCATTTCTGGAAGTGTTCAAGCTCACACTGAATGGGTGAGCATCCTGATCTAGTGAGTGGTGTCCTTGCCCATAGCAGTGAGGTTTGAACTAGATGTTCTTTAAGGTCTCTTCCATCCCAAGCCATTCTGTGATTCTGTGATCCTGCTTGCTGCAATACCCTCAAGAACCCTCCTGGCTAGGAGTAAGAAATGATCTGAAGTCACTTTTATTCTCATTCTTCCCCACAGACCTGCCTCTGCCGCCTCCTCCTCCACCTGGGGAGGATGCAAGCTTCTCCTCAAACTGTGCATTTCCACCACCCCCACCACCCTTTGAAGAGCCTTTTCCACCAGCCCCAGATGAAGCTTTTCCTTCTCCTCCTTCTCCACCTCCTCCTCCTCCACCAATGTTTGATGAAGGACCTGTGAGCAAGGTTCCTGCCCCACAGGTGAGTGAGGTCCAAGGAAGTGTGGTTTGTGTGTGGTGCTCTGTGAGTTGGGACATCTTCTCACTCCTGTCTGAGCTCAGCAGCAGGAAGCCCTGGGAACCTGGGAAAGCAGGAAATGCTACCAGCCACTGGACCAGCACAGGTTAGGGTCAGCTGGCTGGGCTGCAGCTCTGAGAGGAAGGACCCGGGGTTCCCTGTGGACAGAGAGTTGAATGCAAGCCAGCATTGCTCCCTTGTGGCACTAAAGGCCAGCCACACGCTGGGCTGCACCTGGGAGAGAAGGACAAGGACGGTGAATACTCCTCCCTTCTGTGCTGGTGAGGCTGCATCTTGGAGGACTGCATCCAGTCGGGCTCTTCAGTATAACCACCCCTCTGGAATACTGAATGAGATGCAATCCAGTGAAAGGTCACAGCAGCCTTTGGGGTTGGAGCAGAAGAGGCTGCCAAGGCAGGGGTCTGACTGGAGTCTGCAATACCCAAAGGAGGGCTGGAGAGAAGACAGATTCTTCTTACTCGGGCACAACAAGGGACAATGGACAGAAGTTGTGGCAAGGGAAATTCCCCTTGGACAGAAGAAAACCCTGTTCCACTCCAAGGGTGGCTCATTGCTGGCACGTGTGCCTAGAAAGACTGGGGAACCTGCATCATTGGCAATGTTGTGAAATCATCTGCATGAGGCCTTGAGCAGCCTGGTGTTGCTTGGGAATTAGCCTTCCTGTGAGCAGAGTGTTGGACTACAGATGTCCAGATGTCTTTTCCCACCTAAATCTGAGAGCTTCCTTGGGCTGTGCATTTTCCCACTGTTTGTAGACCTTTGAGACTGTGTCCTCTTCGTCCTCACCAGTTTTTTATCCATTGAAAGCAAGAAGCAGATCTGTACCAAAGTCCAAAGTATCAAAATATGCTATTGGAAAGAAATAATACACCCATTTCTGTGGCTGGTCCTGTAACATGCTCTGCTCCCTTTTTCCTCATGGATGGCTGTGTAGGTACGTGGCAAGATGAGCAGCGTTGATCTTGAGATTGAATCACTGTCTGTAATGTTGGATGACATGGAGAAGAATGACCCCTTCAAATCCCGGGTGAGCTGTCCAGAGTGTTGCAGGTGGAAGAGGAGGTGGCTGGTTTGCTGAACAGAGGTAGTGAGAAAGGTGCTACTGAAGATTAAAATATGTGGATAAACCATAGTATGGAGGTGTTGGTGAAGGACTGGAAAACGTGGGTCTTGCAACTTGTCAGTACTGCTAAACATGTCATTGTGGAAACCCCTTGTGTCCTGGGTCTGGGATAGCTGCTGGCTGATTCGCTGCTATAGATGGCATATTTTCTTTCCCACCTTGCTGATACCTGCCTGTTTTCTCTCTGCTGCTTCTCTTTACAGATCACTCCGGGATCTACAGGTTCTCTGGAGAAACCATTGGCCCCAAAAGCCCCTGTGGAAATACCGTCTGCACCCAAAGATGCTCCTCCTTCCTTTCCTTCCAAGTTCACACCAAAGCCAAGTGGAAGCTCATCTTTCAAGCCCCCTGGGGTGGATTTGAACCCCACCCCAACCCCATGGGCAGCCCCACAGCAACGTAAAGAGCCCCAAGCACCAGTCCCTCCACCCCCTTCTCTCCCTTCTGCTCAGCCTATCCCTAAATTCACCCCATCTGCTGTTGCTGGCTCTCCTAAGTCTGTGTCCAAATCAGGTGACAATGTTCCAATGGCTCCCTCAAATTCTACAAGATACCCTACCTCCCTTCAGACTCAGTTCACAGTCCCTTCACCTTCAGGCCCCTCCTCTCGACCACAGCCCCCCAATTTCACCTATGCCCAGCAGAGGGAAAGACCCCAAGTGCAGGAGAAGCCACGCCCAACAGAACAGCCTGCTGCGGCAAGAGACACGGTGAGGGAAAGAGCCCTGGGACTGGTGTCTTTGGGCAGGCACACTGGGAGTGAAGTGGGAGGATGAGGGTGGATCTGCCCAGGCTGTAGGGAGGCTGTTACCCCTCTGAAGGAGAGATGTAACTATAGAGATTGTAGTGCAGAGGGATAGGACTTCATGTGAAGGTGGGAAGGATCAAGCACAGTGGATGGCAGATTGTTCCTAGAGGTGAACAGAGAGGACCTGTAAAGGCTGGGGAAAGAGGTTAGTTAGGGACAAGGTGGGAGGGAATCTGTCTTTTGGGATTTAATGTTTCCTCTTCCTGCAGCATAGGCCCACAGGTTCCAGTGCAGATCCACCTAGGGGGAATTCCTGTCTGACAATGAAGGAGGTAGAAGAGCTGGAGAAGTTGACCCAGAGACTAATGAAGGATATGGAGCATCCACCCCCAGCAGAGGCTGCAACTTCTGGTGCGTGCTTTCAATGGATAGAAGTAGGATCAAGACTGTGATGGGTTTTCATCACTCCTGATCCCTTTCCTCTTCCATTGACAGAGCTCTGTGGCTTCTGCCGGAAGCCCCTGTCACGAACCCAGCCAGCTGTGAGGGCCCTGGACCGCCTCTTCCACGTGGAATGCTTCACCTGTTTCAAATGTGAGAAGCAGCTGCAGGGGCAGCAGTTCTACAATGTGGATGAGAAGCCCTTCTGCGAGGACTGCTATGCTGTGAGTCACTGGGGTGAAAGCTGCTGGAGAGAGCTGAGCTCACTGTGGTTGTTCTCTCTTGCTTTCCCTTCCTCCTTCCATCTTTGCTTTCTGTGGTGTAGCCTCACAGGGGTGGATTCATGTGTCTTACTTGTTTTCTTTGGGCCTAGAGCACCTTGGAAAAGTGCAGTGTCTGCAAGCAGACCATCACAGACCGGATGCTGAAGGCCACTGGTAACTCATACCATCCCCAGTGCTTCACCTGCGTGATGTGCCATACCCCCCTGGAGGGGACCTCTTTCATTGTGGACCAGTCCAACCAACCTCACTGTGTGGATGACTACCACAGGTATGGAGAGAGCACGTGCATGTGATGTATGAGAGAGGGCAGATTCCTTCACACCTGCTTCTCTTTGCTGCAGCATGGGGTTGGGTTGCCCATGTCGTCTGTCAGACATGAAGTTAAAAATGAGTCAGCAAAGTATGAAGATGTCTTTCCACCTAAACATTTGTTATTCCTCTGCTGCTAATGCCACTGAACAGCACTGAGAAGCCTCCCTTGAATGTCACCATGGTGGTCATGGTCTCCTCCATGGTTCTGTGTTGCAGGAAGTATGCACCACGCTGCTCAGTCTGTAGTGAACCTATTATGCCAGAGCCTGGAAAGGATGAGACAGTGCGTGTTGTTGCACTGGAGAAAAATTTCCACATGAAATGTTACAAGTGTGAGGTAAGCCTGGTGGCCCCATTCCTCCCATGTTTCCTGTGCCCATCACCAGCAACTGGACACCTTTGTTGTCTAGGCTGACCAAACACTGAAGTTGTTTTGAAGGAATCTGGAGTGTTTTTGAAGCATGTTCAGAAAAAGATTAGACATTCACAGGCATGAATACAGGGACTGTGCAGGGTTGTTGCATTCCCTAACACCCCAATGCATCAGCTGTTTTATAGGAGGGGAGCTTGATGGGATTGCTCTCCCCTCAAAACAGCATCTCCCATTAGCACCACCAGGGACAGAGCAGTGGGCTGTGAGCGATTGTCCTGACCCTGTGGGGGCATTTCTTATGTCCTTGAATGCCTTCACCCTGTTCTTGGCCGTCACTGAGCTTCCTCTTCTTTTCCTGTTTAGGACTGTGGGAAGCCCTTGTCCATTGAAGCAGATGAGAATGGGTGCTTTCCTCTGGATGGGCACGTGCTGTGTATCAAGTGTCACACCGTCCGTGCAAAAACAGCGCGCTGAGGAGCTCGGAGGGGGCATTCCCTCAAGACCCCCGCACTCAGTACTCCTCCCCTCCCTCCAATTGTCCTGCCCCTCTGCCTGACAAGGCAGATTGCTACCAATGGAGACTATGCCAGCACAGTTTTTCACTCATGTAGGATTCACTGCTCCTAAACTTCACTCTGCACACCCACCAAGAAAGGACTTCTTCTGCCACTGCTTCCTGGCCACAGCATATTCCAGGCTGGGGGCTGTGATCAAGGTGAGTGCACAATCGCTGTTCCCTCAAGACTCTGGAGGAGAAAGATCAGCCCTCCACCACCGCCTGGTGGAAGAAGCAAGAAGGGCCTGGTGGCAGGTGCTGGGAAGGGCTGAGAGCATTCTTCAGTTCCATGGAGCCAAGAATGATTATTTGACTTGAGAAGGTGGAAGCCTGCGTCTCGGCACCACTTCTGTCTTTTATTTTATATCTTGTGACACCTCATTATCAGGATGTCTTCCTCTGCCTGCTCCCTCACCTGGGTTAGAGTGTGGAGGCATATAGTAGTGGGAATCTGTTACTGTTGCTGGAAAAAGCTAACCTGCTATAGCTTTTCTGTCTCTAATGGATTTTACTGGTTAACTGTCTTGTCTTTTTTTCCCTTAGCCAGATTAAACTGGCAGTGTTTGAAATACTACTCTGTTTCTGAGTTTGGAAACTTTTTAAAAAAAAAAAATCTTCTTCCCCTTCCCAAAATGAATTGTTTCCCAGTGTGGTTTCTGGACAGCCAGGCTGGGAACCAGAGTAGCAAAGCAGTCCAAAGAATGCACGTTTACAAATAGAGACCGTCAGAAGGACGGGCAGCACATGGTGAGGAGGCGTCTCAGTGCGTGGATGAGGATTCAGCAGACTGAGGAATGTCTCCTGTTCCAGTAGGGTTTCTTTCACTGCTGTCAGTGAAAGCCGCAGTGTAATTTGTAATTGCAATGTACTGTCTGGCTCTGAGCGTTACTGCACCGAGCCCCATTTCCTGGACTAGAAACTGTCTCAAACTGAACAAACATTTTGAATAACAGCACTGTCCAACCACTGTTTGCATTCAATAAAATGTGTGGGTTTTTTCCATTAACCTGTGTCTGCTGTGTTTGTTCAGCCACCCATGGGAGTTGCTGTCTTTGGCAGTAGAACTGCCATTGCACAGCTTTTTTATACATTGCCAAATGTATATAAGGCTATTCCACCCAGCCTCCAGAGAGCAGGATTCTGAACATGGCCTTTCTCTCTCCACCTCTTGGTCTCCTTTCCAGACTTCTATTTTTCTGTACCTGAAGAGTAGCTCTCATTTAAAACAGTGCAAGACTACAGTTCAGTACAGCAATATTGTAGTCTGCTTTACATATCACGCAGAGGTGGGTATTCCAGTGAGATGGAAGTGGATTGTAATAAAAGTGCACTTTGTTTGCTTTGTCCCTAACTATTGCCTCTCAGAAAGTGTTTGTGCTTGATGTTCATGGTTATAAGCATGGTATTGTGATGGACACTGCAGGTGAAACTTCTTTTTGTGGTAAGCACCAATGTTTCTACACTTCAGAGACCTGAAACCTACTCTTGATCTCTTGCCAGTTTGGGGAAGATCTTTAATGATTCCTTGTAAATTGATCCAGTAAATGTCTTATGTTTTCTATAGAATGAGTAGAGAATAAATCATCCATTTATTTTTCTTACTGTAGTTGTTGCTAGTTTGTAGGCATTGTTGTGAGAGGTTGTTTCTAGACCATGTTATCAAAAGTTTGTGCCCACAAACACCAAGGAGTGCAGGGAAGAACAATGCTGGGATAGAGAAGCTGTAATTCTGCTCCTCCCAGAACTATCAGAGGACCACAGCCTTCGTGTCTGTGCATACTTCTCTCTGTAGGAGACCTATCCAGTGGAGTCAATAGGATGGGATTACCTTGTGGGTTAAAGGGACGTTTCCCCTCTGAGGGGCATGGGATATGTAGGGGGGAGATCAAAGGCAGGAAACAGGAGTGATCAAGGATGGGAAGTGCCATGGGGAAAAACTGACAGGAAGAAGGCACAGGAGGAGGTGCCTGCGCATACACAGTACACTTGTCTGGCCATGCCCTGTGTGTCATCAGTGCAATCTGTCCTGCATTCATAGTAGCGTTTTTGTTGTTCTCTGTATGGGATCTGTTCAGTGCAAGTGGATCTGAATGCCAGCAACTGGACAGACCTGAGTGCATGTATCCTGTGTGGGTGTGTATGTCTGTTATTGCCAGCAAAATCAAGTCAGAGTAGCTAGTGAGTAAGGTAGGAGAATTGAGAGCCAGGACATGGCATGGCTGTGGGTCTGGCTAAATACTGTGAAGACGTGTGGGAGTGAGCTGCTCAAGCTCTTGGGAGCCACTCGTGGGTCTGGAGACCAGCTGAAAGAGTAGAGTTTGCATCTGAGTGTGAGGACACTGGGAGACCAGGGAGTCCAGGAGCCAGCTGCTGGGTAGAGCCGATGCCTGAGGCTAATTCCTGGAGTGCTCCAGGGTGTGTGTGCATGTCTGCAGGCCCACCACTGCAGCAGGGCTGCAGGCCTTGAGGATTTGCTTATCCTGGTGCCGGCAACTGAGGACAGCAGCTCAGGCTCCAGGGCTTGGAGCCAGCTGCAGGATGGCTGGTCTTGGGCACTAGAGGGATCCATTGTGTACTTGTATGTGTTTCCCTCTAACAGGTTCATCCTGATCAGCCAGAGCCGGGAAGAGGATTAGGCTGTTTGTGCTGTGCTTGCATGTCTGCTGTGCTCTCTGCCTCCGGCCAGTCATGCACGGTGTGCGCATTTAAAGACGTGCAACCATTATAGACTTGGGGATTTTCTGTGCATGAGTGCCTATTGGGAATACATGCTCAGGCTTGCTACTGGCCGTACCCTGAGGACATGGAACTGAACAGCCTTTTCACTACCTGGCCAGCTGATTCAGCAGCTCCTAACACTTGAAGTTGGAGGGGACCTCCCTGCTCAGAGCAGGGTCAACCACAGCAGGTTGCTTTTTAATACCTTAAAGGATGAGATCTGGATAATCTGTTCCAGTGTTAACAACTCTCACTGTAAGTTTTTCTCACCTTCAAAGAGAATGTACTGCATTTTGGTGTGTTCTCACAGCTGCTTTCACTGGATACCACTGAGGACTGTCTGGCTCCTTTTTTACTCCCATCAGGTATTTATACACAATGATAAAAGCCACCCAAACATTCTTCTCTTGAGGCTGAACAGGTTCCAGCTCTCTCAGCCTCTCCCTGTTTGTCAGATGCTCTAATCCCTTCAAAACCACAGTAGCTTTTCACTGGACTAGCTCCATTAAGTTTATATCCTTTTTTGTACTGGGAACCCCAAAATTGGACACATCACTTCATGTGTCTGACCAATGCTTAAATAAAGAGGAATAATTGCCTCCTTCCAGTTACTGGTGATGCATTAGTTGAAATGCAGCCCAGGTACTGTTGGTGTTGTTTTGCTAAAGGCCTCAGGTGCAACTTGCTGTTCACAATGACCAGCATGTCCTCTCTTCCAAAGTTGCCTTTCAGTCCCCAGATTGTACTGGCGCCTGAGACTATTTCTGCCCAGTTGTGAGGCTCTGCCTTTCCCTTGGTTCAACTTGCTGAATCTCCTCTCTTCTCATTTCTCTCCTCTCTTAAGGTGCCTCTGTGTGGCAGCACAAGTATCTGATGGATCAACCACTCCCACTTCCCTATCACCTGCAGTGACAAGCCAAAGTTTACATGTGCGTGACACAAGCTCATGATCTTGTGCTAGCCTGGGTATCTGCCAGGTAGCAACTTTACTGGCAACCTGTACTTCATGTTAAAGACATCTATTGCTAAGACTGATACACTAACAACTCAGAGCTTTGCTTTTCAGCTCTCTCTCTTACTGTAGTTACAGTGACTTGAGTAGCCATGGTCTGTGTTGAATAGAAACCAGCCTTCTTCCACCAGATTGCAGTTCTTTGGATCTCTGCTTCTCAGCCCTCCTGTCATCTATGGTGAAGCAAGGCCTTAATTTATAGCCTTAAGAATTTAGAGCATTATACAGTTATGGAAACACTGTTATCTCTAGCAAGTCACATTGCTGAGTGTGTAGCACTCACTTTCACCAACCTAGACTTGAAAAATAAATCTTGGAAGTAGCTATTCTTCCCGAGTGGGAGAAAGAAAAATTCTCACTGATGTTCCTGAGACTTTCTCCTGGACAGTCTAGTCTGCAGGAGAAAGAAGTACTATTCACATGTATTTCATCAAACACAGCAGTAGTTGCTAATATTTATGATTTAGGAATAATCACAGGATCTGTAAAACAATGGACTCAGATAGATATGCCTGTAAATGGGTTGAAAAACAAATCTGAAGTGATCAGCTGCAAAGGTATCCTTTAATCCTAATGCAATTGCACTTCCATGTTACATCTGCAGTTAAATGGACAAAGACCATTGGCTGAAATAACTAAACATGTATGTAAGGACCCTGCTGGGACTTATGATATGTATGCTAAAGGTCTCAATCACATTTGAAATAAGCCAAAGAATTCCAACACACCCTGCTCTGCCACAGGTTTATTTACAAAATATTATTTACAGACTATAACTGTCTTGAGATCTGATAAATAATAACATTTCCTCCACAGAGAAGGAGTAAGACAGACCACCTACACATTTTTCTGTTACAAATACCCTATTCCAGCCAAACAAGACTAGTGTCTCTTTTAAAAAGGGGCAGAGAAAAATGGATATGTATAGGGTTTTCTGTCCATGGCATAAGAAAAAGTATTAAGCAGTTTGGAGAGATGTAAATCTCCCCACTGAAGTGTGCATGTGCAAAACAGCAACATGCTGAGGTGATGTGATCACACAAGTTACAGCGGGGTGTTCTTCTACTCCCAGTTTCTGCTCCAAAGAAAAAAGTACACCACAAGGCGGTGTTCAGGCAAGAACAGCTGCATTAAAAAATATATGCCTTACCAGCAGCCTTGTGAAGACTGAATAGTTTGTTCCTGATGCAAAATAAGAAAGACAGAAGGGTGCTGAAGTGAGAAGGAATGTATGCCAAGGAGTGCATGAGCCCTGTCTCTACCTGTCTGTATTTTTGTGCCTGCTCTCTGAATGTCCCAGTCTATCTTGAGCCCTCATCTCCAATCTTAAAACATTATCCACCACCCTCTACCCACTTCGTATTCCATGTGATACACTGAGGGTCTGAAACTCCAGTATGAGGACTACAGGGCCTACTTAGTCCTGCACAAAGTGGACTGCAGAAAACAGAATATTTTCTAAGACCAGTGCTCTGAAACGTACTGATGGCTGCTGTAGAGCTAAAGCAAGGGGGAACAGAAATGAGAGCAGGTGGTGTTGCCTCACGAGTTTTTCAGTTCTGGTTGTTTTGCTTTGCTTGTCCAGTCACTCATTTGGAAGCAATTGCCATAGGAATTATTCCAAGTGATATCTGGTAAGGATGGGCATTTTTCAAGCTTAAGAATGCAACGACTGATCACTCCTTAAAGCCTTGGATGCTGCACAAGATCCTCTTCTGGTGGCCTGGAAGTGACACTCCCATCTGTTTCAAGTCCCTGAAGGAAATGTGAAAAGAAAGGAAAAAAATGAATTGCTATTCTTCTATTCTTGCTCCTTAGGGACAAGAGTGTGGTAAGGGCAGAAACAGTTAGCAAGCATTAGTTCAGAAAGCTTCCTTTTCCTCAGTGCCTCCTAGTGCACCTACCTTTTCTCTAGAGGGAAGAAACTTCTAGATATTCCTTTCCTCCCCTGACTATCTCTGCCCACCCAGTCAACTGACCTCTTCTACCTCGTGGCTAGGCCTGTGCTCCCAGTAAATCAGGACTTGTGATTACATCAGCTTTGTGATAGGGGCCGTGTCTCAACCATTTAGCAGGTCTGTGCCTGCTCATTTGTTTCATGTAACTGCCCTGGTTGGAGTTGGTTGAACATCCCTGACAAAATAACACAGCTGTGTTCTGAGTCCTTCTGAAGAGCCCAGAAAGACTTTGCTCTATGATACAACAGTGCCTGGCTGATGGAGTGGGGGGGATATCACTAGTCTATATGGAGTTTGTGGCAAGGAAGTTATCCTACA